CACACACACACACACACACACACAATAATATACAAACAACTTCACTTCCTCAAAACAAAAAATAACCACCACCACCCCCCCAAACCAAGACAACAACCGGATGAAATATGAAAAACAATTAAAACAAAAGCAAGGGGGAAGAACCCCTCCCCCTCCCGATCCCGGGCACGCAAACACACTCTAAATGCCAGCTGTTTTGTTGTGCTTTAACAATTAAAAGAAGGAGAGACAAGGACGATAGATGGTCAATGGGAAAGAAGGAACAAACCACATGAGATCACCCGCCAACATTCCGTTTGAGACAGGGACACTAACAAACAAGATGTAGTAGGAGCAAAGCAGACCGAGAGCCTTTATAGCAATAGATAAGAGAACCACTAGATTCAGTAGTGTGTCGTCGGAACAGATTGGGGCGAAAAACCTACCTGCCCACCCCCTCCTCCCCCATCCCACCCTTTTCCCATCCAGAACTTCAAAGAAACCCACGCCAGCGAAGCGAAGCATACAAAAGGATTGCACCTGAAAAAGGGTTTAACAGCCCTTAATTCACTTTTTGATCATGTCAAACAGCCCTTAATTCACTTTTTGATCATGTCAAACAGCCCTTGAACGTTTTTCAACGTACATGCGAAACTTTTCAATTGCTTGTAGGCGTACACATTGTTAATTTCGCTTTTTGAAAATTTAAAAAGCTATTTCTGGAACTGAAAGGACCTTTGAAGTTGGACCTAACTATACAACACACACCAGCCCCCTTTTCCAAGCTCCTCTGCCTACCCCCTCCACCCCCACCCCCCCGGCTTCTAATGTAAGGAAGTCATACCGTGTTTGTCATTGAAAAGGCCTCCAGCTGTACTCCATTCTGCATGTCTACGTAGTATTTATCTATGTACCTATTTACGTATCTATCTATGTATTTATGTTATATAATATGCACATATTATTCTATGTATCTATGTATCTATGTTATCTATGTATCTATTTGCGTATTTATGTTATATAATATGCATCTATGTACCCTGTATATCTATCTACGTACCTGTTATTTATATATCTACGTTTCTACCTATCTACGTACCTATCCATCTATGAACTTATGCTTGATGTGCATCTATCAATCTATCTACGTATCTTATGTATCTACGAGGGGGTTCAATAAGTCTTTGATCTGGGAACGAAGAAATCATGGTAGAGCAATGGAATTTCGCCAGCCTTTACACAACTTCTTTGGAAAACACCATGCACATTTTGGGGGAAATCTGACAAACAATAAGGCACCGGTCAACGTGTTCAATGAAGCACTGAACAAAACGTTTGTTTTTCTTTGCTGAAGCAAAGCCATGGAGTCAGTTGAATTTCGCTCAGTTATCAAGTTTTCACACTTGCTAGGAAAATCCCCTTCAGACACATTTCAGGAAATGGCCCTAGTTTATGGTGACAAATGTCCTCGTTATAATATAGTACTGTGCTTACTGGGTAAGAAAATTCAAATCTGGATTCATGTCGGTGAAGATCATGAAGGGCGCCCATCCTTTGTGGTAACTGAAAAGAATGTATCCAAGATGAAGAAATTGGTTCTACAAGACCGAGTATAACTGTTAAACAGCTATCAAGTGAAACGAGAATCAGTGTACGGTCAATTGAAACGATTCTCCAAGGCCATTTCACACGATTAAGGTGTCTGCTCGGAGCGTACCCCGCCTTTTGACAAGTGAGCAAAAGAAGTAGAGGAATGAGTTCTGCAAAACTCTCCTTCGAAATGAATCCAATGACACGAATCTCTCTTTAAAACATGTTGACTATGGATGAAACATAGATTTATCATTTTGATCCAGAACAAGAAATGTCCTTCATGCAATGGAAAACCCCTTCTTCCCCCTCACCAAAGAAGGCAAAGGTAACACTGTCAAGTGGAAAGGTCATGCTGTCGTGTTTCTGGGATTGTGAAGGTATCATCATGACTGACTACCTGGAAAATGGAAAAACAGTCAGAGGAGACTACTACTCGGGTTTGCTGATAAAATTGTGGTCCGAATTGGTGAGAAAAAGGCGCGGAGAACTCCGTAATGGGGTCCTCCTAGTGCATGACAACGCCCCTGCGCAGAGTGCACAACAAGCAGTCCAGACTAAAGGAACATTGCAGCTTTGAAATCTTGCCACGCCCAGCTTATTCACCAGGCCTAACCTCCTCAGACTTTTTTTTTTCTGTTTCCTAATCTAAATTTTAAAATTCACTCGACGGACGTCGTTTCCATGACGAGGACGCCAGTGAAGCTGTAGAAGACTGGTTAGGGGCCTATTCTGGGTCTTTCTTTTTCTCAAGGACTTTTGAAGGCCAAAGAGAGGTGGCAGAATGCGTTACTCTGCATGGTGACTATGTAGAGAAATAAAGTACGTGTGCCAAGCTGCAAAGCTCTATCATTATTCCTTCATATTAAGAAAAAAGACTTCTTGATCCCCTCGTATGTATCTGCATGTATATATCTATCATCTAACTATGAATTTGTCTACGTATCTACATGTGTAACGTTATATCTATGCATTCTGTCTATTCATCACAGAACAATACATAAGGTAACGAACGACGTACAAAATCAGCTCAATTATATCACACAATCTTTTTTGACAGGTTACACAAAATAATAACATATGCGTATCATCAATCCCTTAACTAAACCACCAACATACTACTGTACTCCCCTGCTGTCAAACTGACTACTAAACGACCGTAAATACTTTAGGTCCTAATCGTCCCAATTCAAATTATTCAGGAGGCAGACTGCTTTGACCTGGCCTTTCTGGGTAACTCCACACAAAGTGAGATACAACATCATTCATGCACTCATGGGCTTTCACAAATGTATCTTTCATTCATGAAGTTATCGTGCCTACTATGATATAATACAGGATAATAATCAGATCTGCCCTGTGCTGGAACGTAGTAGGGAAACAAATAAACGTACCATGTTACGTGTACTATGTTTTTTTCATATAACGTACAATGTTTTAATAACTAGAGCATTTAACGTACAATCTTTTTTAAAATATTACATACAATGTTTTCATATTACGTGTACAATGTAAGCGCATCATGACAATTCAATGAAAGAACCATAGAATACAACAAGTGAATAAATGAGTTAATCCAATGTAAAGAATCTGTACAGTTTTGTTTCAGCTTTCGCTATAAACTCGTTTTCTCCGAGACACTGTTCGCCGATGAATCCGACTCCTCGCCGTCGAGGGACGGGTAATGACAAACGTCTTTAAACTCCTCCTCATCAACCCCATTCCTCTCATCCTTCCCTCCCATCCTCTTTGCTTTCATGTTTCCTTTCCCTTTCCCACTAGCCTCACCGCCGTCGCGAACATCGTCGTGATCGGGAAATCCCGGGTCCTGTTCGGGAAAACCCGGATCCTGCTCGGGAAAGCCTGTGTCCTGATCGTGAAATCCCGATTCGGCGCTCTCCTCGTCCGAGTCTGTGCGCTCGTGCAGGCAGCACCGGACGCCGTCGTCGCGACGTAGCTCGTCCAGATCGTTGCCCACCTCGAGGTCGATGATTGGCTGAGCCAGGAGGAACTCGTCTCCTGATTGGAGGTTGAGAGCCTCCAGGATATCATGATGCTCCTTGCCTTTGTGGAGGAGACGCGGCGGGGAGGGTCCGGCGCTGACGGGGGTGGGAGGTAAATTCTCGTCGTATTCCTCCTCATCGTCCTCCTCGTCAGACACGCTGGTCTTGGTGCTGACCATGTGCTGGTTCACGGCCTCCTCATCCTCGTATTCTTCTTCCTCCTCTACAAACTCCTCTTCGGGTTCCTCCGCGTCCTCGGTGATCGCCCCGAGTTTGGGCGCTGTGTGAGATTTAGAAACGGGCGGCCGGAAGTTGTTGGCCGTGCTCAAAAGCTGCGTGCGCAGGGGCAAAATAGACCCGGTTTTGGGAAGCGAGTTAGTGCGCTGCAAGACGAGACGAGAGTTTTGTTTCCGAATTTTCTCACGCTGAAATTCTTTGAGGGCGAAGCTGAGCTTTTCGTGCAGCTGTAAAGCCATGGCTTTAGCCTTAGCCTCGTTTTTGCACAACACGGCGTGACATCGCAATTCCATCTTCATCTTCCGGCCCTCGTGCCGGTACACCCAGACGAAAAGTTTTGGGTAGTCCGGATGAGCGATGCAGTAAGAGATGCGATGTGCTCGGTACTCCGTCAGCCCTTGCTCCTTTGTGTAGGCCTTCATGCCGGACCCAGTGATGACGACCTTCATCTCGATGCCCGGGTGTTCGCTGCGCATGTAATTGCTCCAGATCACGGCAGCCGCCTTGTCCACGCAACCTTCACCTTTCATCAAGGCCGTCTGAACGTTGCCTAGGTAACGCACCTTATGCGTGGGGTCCTGTTCGCTGATGTTGAGATTTTTTCGCCAACCGAAGATATTCATGATGGCGGCGTTATGATTTGTCTTCCCTTCTAGAATACCACAAAAATAACCAACTTGGGAGTGAAAAGAGAGGGCAAAAAACACCTCAACCTCAAACGAAACAAATTAAACTATCAACTGGCGATATCTATGAGGTCGCTTTGTCCGCGTCAGAAAACTGCTCTGGGATGAGAAGCAAAGTCTGCGTGTACGTTGTCACAGTGGAAAGGGAGAAAAACAAATAAGTACCTCCTTCACCTCAGGACACAGTCAAGAGTTCAGTATGTAAACACAAGAGGCGTGCCAAGCAACGTCTTCTGATGCACACAAAATCCAGTGACGAAGTTCACAGTTCCTAGTAAGCTGAGCGACCTCAGAGTACACATTCTTCCTGTCCTAGTCAATGATCGTTGGTACAGTCTTCGCTACTTCAATCCGCATAAACGATACAATCTGAAAAGAAAGAGACAGAAAGGAAAACAATTGTTATTTTCTTTTTCAAACTGGCAATAACATGGTTTGTTTAAGTAAAGAGAAGCACATCAACACAATAAAGACTGTCATTTTGTGCTGGGAAAGAAGGGAATCGGCATGAATGAAATTCGAAACATGATTTTCAAAGAAAACATCAAGAAAGTGACAAACACAAACGACCACAAAATGACCTACGTCACAACACTTCCATTTGTGATCAGGCTGAATCAATTTCAGACTCTATTCTGCTCACCAGATACGTCACACGTTTCAATGCTAAAAAGGTTTGGTACATGGAAAGATACTTTTTTTAAAAACCCCAACAAAACCCTACTTTTTTAACCGAGGGAGACATCTTGAAAAAAATTTTTTTTTTAAACGTGCAGTGGTCAGCAAGCTCCTTCTGTTGAGTACATTTTCAACAAAATTAAATATTATTACATCAAAATTTTACACTGCACAGCCTATTCAGGATGATTTGAAAACACTCAAGAAAAAACAAAACAACAACAACAACCCTGCAGAATCCTATCAGGGATCAAACCCTTAAGCGTCGGACGACAAGGCTCGGGTCTTAACCAGTACACAAGGACAATGAACCGCAAGCTGGGAGTGATGTTACAGCATGAAGACAAAGACAACACAAATGAGATTCAGTCTAGAAGAAAAAAACATAGATGAAGTCTATTATTTTTAAAAAGGGCCAATTTTATCAGCGGAGCTGAATTGCGACGGCACATTTGATTACAGACAGCACCTAAACATCTGAAGAGAAGATTGCAGGGTTGGATAGGAGGCGATCAATAAATTCACGTGCGCGCATGCGTGTGTGCGTGTGTGTGTGTATGTGTGTGTGTGAGTGTGTGTGTGTGTGTGTGTGTGTGTGTGT